AAAAAAAAAAAAAAAAAAAAAAGAAGACTACTTGATCTAAGGTTACCTGTGGATTTCATTTACTTATATTTTCTTCCCCACCACAGGACCACTGGCAGTGAAGGACTGGCTTACAGATAATGCTTCAGATGAAGGTTAAGTATTCCTGTAGGAATTCACTATGTAAGAAAAATGAAAGGGGAAAAGGAACTGCAGGAGATGGGGGTACTCACTGAAATACTAGGACAACAAATACTAGTTCAGTAATGCTCCTCCTCCTCAACGCCGTTCCCGGGCCTCCCTGAGCTGGCACACAGAGGTTCTAGCAAAATCAACCAATCCGAGAAGGCAGGCAGGTCTGGGATCAGAGTGGGCCACCTCGCCAGGCATCACCCTTCCTTGCCTGAACTTACAATGGCTCTTGACTATTAAGAAATCTTGAGCTAACTCATTTTCCATCTTGATCAAATCTTCCAGTTGGAAAGGTCCCCTATGTCTTGGCTCCAGCCCTCCTACTTGAATCTAACCTTAAAAATTCTTCCAAATTCCTATGCAGACCTTCTGTTCTAGTAAGGTTGTTCACTTTGCAAATTGCAGTTCTTTGTTGATCTGGAATAAACCCATTTTTGCTGGAGAAATAATTGGCAGTCTATTTGGTTTAAGTCAATAGCTGATACTAGAGATCTGCTGGGTTCTAGCTCTAGAAGCAGAAGTAATGGCCAGGAAGTCAGTTCCTGTGGGGTAACTTGCCTACCTCCTAGGAAACAGGGAATTTCAGTGGCTTCCTCTCCCATGAAAGGTTGTAAAGGCTACTGCCAGAGCTGCCTGGGGCTAAAGCAGTAGGAAAAGCCATGGGTCCAAGGGAGACTCTATCAACCAGGCTGATTACTAACTAGGTGACCAGATCTCTGATATCCCCAGTACCACTGTGGATGGAAGATCCAAAATGCCACTATTTAATCTAGTTCCTCTGCTAGAAAGGAATGAGCCTAGAGAGAGAAAAATAAAGAAACTAACTAAAAAGCCTCCCAATCATAGCCAACAAACCAAAATTCAAAACAGAAATAAGCTTTTTATTAAAAAAGACAATCTGAAAAAATCAGTAATTAGAACATAAATTCACTCTACATGAAGCTTAATTTTATGGAGCAGTCTGACAAAAACATTAAAATAACTGCTTAGATACTCAAGAGCTAAATGAAGGAGTAACTTTCACACTATTTTTAATCTAGCAAAAAGAGATGGCGGGGAGAGAAATTAAATAATTTACCCAAGGTTATATACAACTAACAAGTGACAGAGAGAGAACAAAAATGTAGATTGACACCAAAGCTCTTGCTTAATAAATTAAAGGCATTATTGCAAGGTGCCTGTCCTAAATGCTCAGATATACACTTGGTTTGATCTGGTTCATGATAGAGGTATTATCAACTCTCTTACTATTTGCTTCAGTAGGTTTCATTCAGTCATTTGGAAAAAAGATCTGTTAAGTACCTAGTAGTTGCTTGGCACTATGCTATGCCCTAGGAAAGAAGCAGTAGAATAAAAATTCCAAATTACACATAATTCAGGAAGCAGGTTCCTGTGGATCTAGAATGCATTACCAGAGTATATTGTTTTTAAGGACTGCCTTCCTAATCACGTTTTAGTCAGGTTACTGTTCAAACTGATTTCAGTCCCTGAATATCCACCATCAGAGTAGGGGTTAAAATAGTTTTGAAACAAACTGGTGATATGGATAGAAAGCTAGCTGGAGAATCAAAATATCCTACAGAAAATCCACTCAGTGGACAACCTACTTGTGACTGACTTGAGGTAAACTGTGTCACACTCAACTCCCTTAGATGACTGGGGACATTTATTACTGTTAATAAACTGTTTTCTTACATTAACTGAATGACTCATCGCTGGCCTAAAGAAATTATGTCACCTTCAAACACAAAGCAACTAATTTCACATTTTAAATGTGAAATACATTTAAAGCCGATATATGAAGCAAAATTCCCAGAAAATTATCAAAACTCAATTGCCAGGAAATTAATTATGTGTAACCTCAACTGAGTAAAGGTTAAGCCTCTACCAATATCTTCATTTCCCAAATAATAATTTACTTACCAAGCTGTTATCACTAAGGGTTTTTTGTTTGTTTGTTTTAGCACAAGGAAGTAAATTCTTTCCCTTTCCCCTAAACACACTTTTACTTTGTTAGGTTTAAGAGCAAGTCCAAATGAAAATTCATTCAAATAAATAAGTTATTGGGTACAGAAAAGTAAATGTCAATAAAAACAAAGCTACTTATTTACTGATGGTTAATAAACTTTTACCTTACCATGGTTCCTTATTTTTCATTTGCTAATTACTTAAATAATTGTAAATAATGCGAAGAAAAAAATGAGTGTTTTTGGAACAAAACCAGGATTTGTCCCTAACCTTGATACAGATTAAATGATGTGTATTTACTCAGGCTCAACATCATCAGTCATCACCATCATCATCTGAATGAAAACAGCTATAAACAATAATTTCAAAAATAACAAACACTTAGCCTGGCTATTCAGAACAACACACTTAGATACCTAAAACACTGCATATCACA